TTCCCAGGAGAGAAAGACTTTCATGGCGGCAGACAAGAGTTGAAGATGCGATGCTACAGAAGTGTTCCCTGACGAGCACCAACCTTCGAGCGGCTGCAGACCTTTACTTGTACCGGGTCCCGTCCTTGAGCTTCGCCCCCTCCATCCGTCGAGCGACTCCGAAGACCAGAGCACCCCTGTGAGATCACCACTCTCCTCTGCTCGACCCCTCCTTCTCAGTCGAGCCTAGATAAGAAGACGTGCTGCATCTTGTACAGAGGCAACGCCATCGCGTTGCCGGAATCGCCAGCCGTCAAACTCGAGAGATCGGCACCGTTGGAGGGTCTTGGCCGGACCGGCATATATGGTTGCCCCGCGCCCGCCACCCCGAGACTTTGCTCGACTAGGAAGGTCGGCATGCAGACTGTCGTTCGATGACCCCGGTCGTTGGGGTTATGGTGGGATTGATGACGAGGACAACCGGACGTCTCATCCGCAATGTTGGGATTGCGGAAATCGGGCCTCATCCTGCTTCAATCCATCGTTTGATTGCCTCACTGCCTCCAGTCCTATTGGCTGTGGATGGCGGGGCTGGGTGCGTTGGCGCGTATAACCAAATTCATGACCACCAAATGGTCCGCAACATTGAAGCTTACATCTCGTAGCATATCATCAAAGCGAGCCAAGAAGCAGAGTGCAGAGGTGTTTGGCATGTCAAATCTGTAGTAGCATGTTATCTACATGATAGAATGACATATGAAATTTCCCCTGGATGCTAACATGTCCGCTTATAGCCAGCCCCATGTGTATGCACATGTGGTCTCGTACCTCTGAAAAAGACCCTTAAGCCTCACGTTCCAACGTGTTACACAGATGCCCCCTGACACGTATGTTCAGCTTGAGTGGTAGCTACAGATGGGACATTGATATACTCCCTACTACCTAATCATCTCTTCCCGAGCCCACTGGTCATCACTGTGGCCCCTCACAGCCTTGAGATACTTGTTAAAGGCCCCCGATGTCTTGATGACCTGGCTCAGGTGCGGCCAGTCCAGCCTCTCATTCCTGTGCTTGGCGAGCTGGCGCGCGGTTCGCAGTGCATTGCGAATCTGCCGCCCATTCATCTCCTCGGCCGAGAGCTCGTCTAGCCGTCGCTCGAGCTCGGGCATGTTGACATCTTCATGCGGCGAGTCCTCAATCATATCGAAAAAGTTGCGCCAGATGGCCTTTCGTGCCTTTTTCGACAGGTTGTCGTAATGAATGGCAACTTGGATGCGCGACTTGAACGCTTCATCGAAGGTTCCGACACGGTTGGAAGTCAGCATGAGGATGCCTTCATAGTACTCGAGGACGCGGAGAAACACTAATTTCACGTTAGTTTTGACAAGGAATAGAGAGTGCGTGGCTGAATGTGTCTCCCGGAGCACTTACCAGTCACCAGACTGTTTCTCTGCAGGTCAGCCATTGTTCTCTCCTCCAAGAACACATCTGCCTCGTCCAGCAGCAGCACTGGGTCTCTGTTAACCGTGTACATTGAATTTTTCAGAGGAAAGTAGGAGTGGAACTCACCACAGTCCCAGATCTTGCCCAAGTGCAACACAGTTTGTAGATAGTCCTCGACTTCCTTGGCGTCGGTTCCGATGTCTCCACAGGTAACCCGATAAAGGGGCTTCTCTGCGATCTCGGCCACGCTACGAGGTGCCTGAGTCAAATCAAACTTCCTGCAAAAGAATCAAAACATGGAAGAAGCATTTACCTTTCTGCCGTCAGTGTTTTCCCTGTCCCCGGGCTGCCGTGGAGTAAGACAATGAGGCCATTGCCCTTTCCCTTGATGATATCGTCCATTTTCTCGGCTGAGCTTTGGACATCAACCAGCGCGTAGATCATCTCTTTAGTCTTGGGATCGAGAACCAGGCGCTCGAATGCTTTCTTGTTCCAGTTGACCGGGAAGAAGTTCTCAACATTCAAGTTCACTGTAGAAACAAGCACGTTAGTGGTGCTCGGTGCCGTGAAGCCAAAAATACATACCCCATTTCTTTTCCTGAAAGCTGAAGCCATATATAGTAGCGGGCAGGAGCATGATAGTGTCTGGCGGGAGGTTCCCCTCGCTGCGGTCGATTCGGGTAGGCCACTTGTCAAAAGGCGATAGAGTCCAGTCGGACCGAGGGTGGCTGGTACCTGCACGATGCATGAGCTGGTACGATGATACATCAACCATAAATCGAGCATCGACCTGCACGGTATTGACACACTTCAGTGATATCCAAGTATTCGAGCGACCAGGGGAAACGACTTACGTAGTAATAGCTCCGCGACTTATCCCAGCCCGTGTAGCACTTATAGACCTGGTCTCTCATGTCCCAGAATTGTCGGCCCCTCGTCTCGAGTGCCTCGATGTCGGCCACTCTCGCAAACTTGATAGGGTGTATGGACAAATCCGCGATAGGGGTACGTCCTTCCGCAACCCTATTCATCTTGCCTGTCCAAAACTTCCTGAATAGCTCAGAACCGTCGTACTGCCAAGACCAGCCTACGAAGTCCACCCTGTCTTTTTCAACCTCAGCATAACTTTCGAGAACGAAGGCCTCGAGGGTGCCACCAGCCCGTCGGCTCAGAACCACGTGATTAGGCTTGAAGAGCTTCGTGATATGTTCGGCCGTGATGCACCCGTCTTTCAGAAGCTCGTCCGCCTCTTTGTATTCCTGGCCGTAGTTGTCCTCTATAAAGTTTAACAGCGGCACAAGTACGGATCCATAGGTTGGGTTGGACTCTGCCAAGCTCTCCAACTTCTGACGGTGATGAAAGAGAAACAAGTACGGTGCCTCCATCCGTTGGTAATCAGACTCTGAGTCGCTTAAATTCCCGGGGCCGCTTGGGAACTCTGCCACCTGTTTCAAGGCTTTCTGCAATACAGGAGACACCAACCTTAGCCATTCATGTCTCTCTGTTGCATAGACATGCCTTCTCGGAGCTTGTGCTGAAGACGCGCTTTGGAACGGCGCGCAATCATACTCCTTGAAGACGACGAAGCATATCTCTGGATGCTTGCTTAGGAAAGCTTCCAAATTGGAGACCTTGACTTTGCCAGCAAGCATAGTGAAGCCAGTATTCGCATCAGTCATTGTTTTTGGTTCATCCTCGTAAGTGAAAGTATCGTGAGGGTGTAGCATATGCGGGCAATGAATCTGGTGCAGGATATGAACTCGAGGCGGGGGCTCTTGCTGGCTGTCCGAATCACCATGCGAGCCACGAGACGCTGGCGTGGGATCCGACTCTGGGGCTCGAGCATAGTTCAGTTGATTGTGTAGCAGCTCAATCGTATCTAGAAGATAAGCAATGAACTGAGATGTCTCCTGGGACTGGTCCATAACATCGAGATCAAGATGTTTTTCCATGACTTCTGTAAGAGATTCTGCCAGCCCAAGGGTATTCGATGCTGCTCCTTTCGAGGTACTTCCGTCAGGGGCTTTGCTTGCTGTTGACACACTCTTCGCCCCACCCCCGTCGCCAGATTTACGCTGGCTTCGTTCGGGGGACTGAGAAGCCGTGTTGACTCCCGGCAAAGGCCCTCGCTTTTTCATCAGACTCTGGCGCCACTTGGCATCATTCAACGCCTTTGGACGCGCGGCAGGAGATCTTCGGTTAGGCTGTGCAGGCTGCCGAGGAAAGGGAGGGGGGCGTGAATTTGGTCCCTGGTCTGGATGCAAACGCATAGCTTGTTCAGGACCCAACAGTTTGGGCGGTGGAGGTAAGCTCCACTGATTTTCATCCGACTTATTCAATCTTTGGAGAACTAACGATTTGAGTCAGTCAGGAACGAATACTGATCGAGGGTTGAGCAAGCAATGTACAAGCCCTCGATGGAAAAACCCACCCCCTTCTTTCTCAAACCTGCTGCCTATCTTGGATAGCAGATCTCGCTTCTTGGATGACTTGCTGAGGGTATCATCTCTAGAGATGGTAGAGCTGATAAACAGAGTCGATTGCCCTCCACTATCGCTAGATCTGTTACTAATGATGCTTCGAGAATCGCCCGAGTCGCTGTCCTCCGCAATGTCAACGGTGGATTTGTCTGCATGAGCCGAGGCGCTGGCCTCGTCCTTTGAGTTGTCTTTTTGGGAATCCATCTGATTGAGCGTAAGATATACTAGTATTGCTGCTCGCGGGAAGTGAACAATGTGCAGGACGTAACATAGGAGCTGAATTTCGCGACCAGACTTAATGTCTCATCCGAGATGCAATCTGGCTGAGGGGTAAAGCTGGGACAAGGGTGGTGGTATGCAGCCTGAGCAAGGCTATCTGAGGTACGGAACCTGATGCAGCTGGCAGAAGCCTCCTCGAATCCTGGGAGCCTGGCACTGCTGTGGCCTGGCGCGCGCTTACACAGGTCAGCCGACGACCCAACCATGCATTTATCCCATTTTGCGCAGTGTCCAGATATGACTGTGCCGTTGTCGCTCGGCTGGCCTCGGTGTCATGATTCTAACATTTCGGAGTATCGCTTGACGGATCAGCACCTTACGTGTCAGGAAGACCTGCAATGTTTCCTAATATGCCTAGACGCTTAATCACGCTCGTCATTGACTAGAAATAGTGACCGAAGAGCTAAATCTCTCAATAAATCTTTGGTTCCTCCTCTTGAGCATGGCGCGATATTTTGGCTTCCTCATCATTCTTTCAGCTCGGCGCCCTTGATCCGTATAGATGCGTCTCTGATCAAACACTTCATCTGCATCGAGCGAAGTCGATACGGCAAATCTCCAGGATAAAACGGCAATTTTCAACCCCCCTTTCACTCGACGGCTTATCATTTCCGCGAGGAACTCGACGAAGTGGTCAACCTTGAAAAACTCGTGCTCTTCTTCCTCGTGGCTTGTGGCCAACTCGATTAGACCCATGTCAACGACGAGAAACAAGCGCGGAAGCCTTGTGATACATCGTTCAAAGATTGCGAACCACTGCTGGACCCCTTTGCACGCCTTGAAGTGCTTCATGTTGACAGGATTCACCCCCTCGCTGACAATACTGGGGTCCAGAGCCAGAGCTTGGGATATGAGCGATCGCAGGATGCCAGATACCGACGGCTTCAAGGGTTCTTCTTCTGATGCAGACGGGAGGGCCCACAAGACGGGGTAATCTTTATCCAGGACGGCATCGAGGAAATCAGCAGCAAAGTCAAGTGAGCTTGAGCGAATGCCTTGGCCTTGAGCCAAGAGAAGGGAAGACGAGGGATCAGACACCCATGACTCAAGTGTCTCAAGCGCTGAGACTGGTATCTGGGTCGGCATGGTGCGCCTCCTCCGGTTCCGCATGGATCTACAGTAGGCCAGGCTCTCGTCCGATTCTGGAGCATCCTCTAAGAGAAGATAGTTGCGAATGTCTTCGACCTGGCCTTTTCGAAAGAGCTGCTTGTATTCGTGTTGAACCCCGAGCAACGATTCGTTGTATAGAACTTGTTGCTGCTGTTGCACTATGGATTGTTCAGCCAAGACGTAGGTTTCATAGTCACTGGAGGAGCACGAACTTACCAGCCATCATTTCAGTTACCTGCACGAGTGTCTTATCCAAACGATGAATCCGGATGTGAAGGTCCCTTATCTCAGCTTTGGATGCTGCGCTGGCTAGTTCATCCACTCTTCTTGATCTTTCTGTAATTTCTTCAATGACGGGTTTGAAGCTCAGGCTGAATGGTTTAGTAATGGACGAAAGCGAATGCATCACCTTGCCCTTCTTGTACCACCGAACAGCCATGACGAAGAACTCTAAGATTTTGGCATATACCATGGCGACGGAATCTGCATGCGCTGCGTCGGGTACAAGACGGAATGCAACTCTGTCCGAGGCAAGACGTCCGCAATCTTGCTGACTGCTTTGGAAATTTCCGTGAGGAGCTCCTCATGATTAAGAACGGCCTAGAGCACGTCA